GGATGTGATCAGAGAATCTAAACGGGAAAATAGAGGTATGATAATTTGAAGGAAGGACTGAAAATCACAAAAGGCTTAATAGAAGCAAGGGGTCCTCAGATTTACGTTTGTAGTCCTTGATTAGTTGAATATTTACTTGAGACTGGGTTCAGAAAAAGTTACTAAGAATTCATCCAAAAATCATAATGCTTTTTTTTTTCCAGGAGAACTAGTAAATGTAATTTGCTATTTTCTGTTTTGTGGGAAGGGGAGGAGAGATACAGCTGATTTAAAAGAAGATTCTCTCAACTTGTAACAATATGTTTTTTTTAAGATTGTATTTATTTATTTATTTGAGAGGTAGAGTTACAGACAATGAGAGGGAGAGACAGAGAGAAAGGTCTTCCTTCTACTGGTTCACTCCCCAAATGGCGGCAACAGCCAGAGCGGTGCCAATCCAAAGCCAGGAGCCAGAATTGTCTTTCTGGTCTCCTGGGCAGGGGCCCAAGCGCTTGGGCAATCCTCCACTGCCTTCCCAGGCCATAGCAGAGAGCTGGATTGGAAGAGGAGCAGCCAGGACTAGAACCGGCGCCTATATGGGATACCGGCGCCTCTGGTGGAAGATTAACCTACTCCACCTCAGCGCCGGCCCCAACAATATGTTCTTAAAACTGTATATTTGAAAAACATGAAATTTGTTGACTTTGTATAAATTTAAAAATTAAAAATCAAAAATAAAATATTTTTTAAAAATGGGAAATAGAGGCAGACGTTGTGGTGCAGCAGGCTAAGTCAACACTTGGAGCTCAGCATCCCATGTCAGAGTGCCTGGTTCGAGTCCTGGCTGCTCCACTTCCTTCTAATGCATCTGGGTGGCAGCAGATGATGGCCCGAGTATTTGATTCATACAGGACACCAGGGTGGAATTCCTGACTCCTGGCTTCAACCTCGCTCAGCCTCAGCTGCTGCAGGCATTTGGGGAGTGAGCCAGAGGATGGACAATCTCTCTCTCTCTCTCTCAATTTCTCTCTCTCCCTCTCTCCTTCTCTCCTTCTCTGTCTCCCCCCCTCCCCGCCGCCTCTCCCTATCAATCTGTCTTTTAAATAAATGAATAAGTGATTAAGAGAATAGGAAATAAATCCTGTTCAGGCTATTTTAAAAGGATAGTCAGAGTTTCTGAGACTGTTAGAGACATACTCTGGAAAAGCATACTCAACACAGAGCTCCACGGTACCTTAGTCCTCAACTGAATGAATTTTTCCCCCACTGTGGGGAGCAGCTCGGACTGGACTAAGTTACTGGAATTAAGACTTATTCTATGCATCTGCTCTCCCACAATATGGCGCTGGGAGAGAAGAAAACAGCTTTTACACAGCTGCCTCCAGTTCAACCAATAAACTGTAGGACTTGCTCCTGATTGGAGAGCAGCGTACTCGGCGTGTGGGCAGCCGAGTTGGGATTGGCGGAGGAGGACTATAAAGGAGGAGAGAGACGGCATGCACCAGGAACATCTAAAGGGAACATCTAAGGGAACACCTGTGCAGCCCCCAGAGAGCCGGCTGGCGGTGTGCCGCTCCCCTGCGGAAGTGGGGAATGTGGCCAGGGGGAACTGCCCTTCCACGGAGGTGGAAGGGACAGTAGCCAACCCGGGAAGAACCAGCAGCAAAACCGGGGAGGGCCGAGCAGACGAAAGAACAGCGCAGGGTCCTGTGTCGTTCCTCCACGAAGAGGGGGAGCGATATAATGGTGCCGTGACTCGGATATGAAGCCTAGGCAGGGCTTTGTGTCGTTCCTCCATGAAGAGGGGGAGCGACATAATGGTGCCATGACTCGGATAGGAAACCTAGGAGGGAAGAAGTGGGAAAATATCGGAGAGAGAGACTAGCAAACAGCCTAGGGAAAAGCCGGACGAAAAAGGTGCCGGAAGAAGCTATTGAAAGCCTAGGCATAGACTCAGATACGGACTACGGGGGGAAGCTGGGAGAAATCTCTAAGGTCGAAAGCGAAAGTGAAAGCTAGAACAAACAGACTCGGATACGGACTGTGGGGAGAGGCCAGGAGAAATGAGGGAGGAATATTGTTGGAGGAAAGCTTGGGGAAACATACCGGGTAGAGAAAAATGTTAGGGAAATTGAAGCCGCGGGGGGCAGGCCGAGGCGGAAACGAAAGCCACTTTGGGATTCTCAAGTTAGCCCGGGAATAGGGGGCGAAAAGTTAAAACCAGAAGCGGAAACGTAAGCCTGGTTGGGATCCGTCTGATTAGCCCGGGGAGCAAAGGACGGGAAGCCAGATCGTGGGGCGGAGACGTAAGCTGGGTTGAATTCGCCAGGCTAGCCCGGGGAACTTGGATTGAATGCTAGTGGTGGAGACGCAAGCTACGCTGTGTGACTCACGGAAGCCACCGCGTGCAGAGAGAGCACGGGGCGTGAATAGATAGGGAACGCGGGGCTGGCGCGAGGCCGTGGTTCAGACGCGAAAGGGCTAGTGAGAGACCGCGGAGTGTGCGCGCGAAGCCGAGCCGCGCGGAGCCGTGAAGCTGCCGCGGGGCGGGAGCCGGGAAGCCGCGGGGATAAGAGAAACAGAAGTTTAGAAGTAAAAGGAGAGAAATAGGAATGCTGGAAGATAGAAGTAAAATGGGAGAAATAGGAATGCCCGGAGATAGAGAAATAGAGAAATAGAAAGGCCTCCCCTCAACATGGCAATGAGAAAGCTTGGATTCGGTCTGCCTGATTAAGTGAGGCGATGAGCACCTGCGGGCGGCTAGCAGCTTATGCGCCGCAGGTCACCGAAGACAGGCACGAATTAACATCAGTAAGGCCTCCCCACAATACCGCAATTAGAAGGCTTGGATTCGGTCTGCCTGATTAAGGCGGTAAGCGCCAGCAAGCAGCTCGACCAGAGTATAAGCTGCAGGTCACCGAAGATAGGCACGAACCAACACTAATAAGTCTCCCCCACAATACGGCAATGAGAAAGCTTGGATTCGGTCTGCCTGATTAGTAAGGCGGTAAGCGCCAGCAGGCGGCTCGACCAAAGTATGAGCCGCAGGTCACCAAACACAGGCACGCATCAGCGCCTAAAAACCTCCTCACAACATGGCGAAGAGAGGACCCGGATTCGGTTTGCCTGATTGATAGGACTTGTAAGAACCTGTGGCAACTCTAGCAAGTAGAGCAGAGTGTGTGCCGCGGGACACCGAAGACAGGCGCGTATCAACGCCAAAAATAAAAAGAAAGGGGGATCTGTGGGGAGCAGCTCGGACTAGACTAAGTTACTGGAATTAAGACTTATTCTATGCATCTGCTCTCCCACAATATGGCGCTGGGAGAGAAGAAAACAGCTTTTACACAGCTGCCTCCAGTTCAACCAATAAACTGTAGGACTTGCTCCTGATTGGAGAGCAGCGTACTCGGCGTGTGGGCAGCCGAGTTAGGATTGGCAGAGGAGGACTATAAAGGAGGAGAGAGACGGCATGCACCAGGAACATCTAAAGGGAACATCTAAGGGAACACCTGTGCAGCCCCCAGAGAGCCGGCTGGCGGTGTGCCGCTCCCCTGCGGAAGTGGGGAATGTGGCCAGGGGGAACTGCCCTTCCACGGAGGTGGAAGGGACAGTAGCCAACCCGGGAAGAACCAGCAGCAAAACCGGGGAGGGCCGAGCAGACGAAAGAACAGCGCAGGGTCCTGTGTCGTTCCTCCACGAAGAGGGGGAGCGACATAATGGTGCCGTGACTCGGATATGAAGCCTAGGCAGGGCTTGGTGTCGTTCCTCCACGAAGAGGGGGAGCGACACCCCACCTCAGACGTTTGGCAATGTCTGAGGACAATTTTGATTGTCATGATTTGGAAGTAGCCACTGGCTTCTAGTGGGTAGGGGCCAGTAGGTAGAGGATATTAGGCATCCTACAACAAAGAATGTATCCAGTCCATTGTCAGCATTGGGAAGGTTGAGAAACCCTTTGCAGTGGAAGCAACATGGGCCTAGGTCCCAATCCATTCCTTATTAGCCATGTTAGCATGTATCAATGTAATGGTATATAATAAAAAATGTGTAAGCAGGTGGGCTGGCATTATGGCTAGCAGGTTAAGCTACCACCTCTGATGCCAGCATCCCATAGGGGTGCTGGTTAGAATCTCAAATGCTCCACTTCTGATCCAGCTCCCTGGTTAAAAAAAATCGGGGGGGAGGCAGCAGAAAATGGCCCATGAGCTTGCCACCCATGTTAGAGACCAGGAAGAAGCTCTTGGCTCCTGGCTTCAGCCTGGTCCAGGCCTGGCTGTTGAGGACATCTTGGGGTGGGGGGGGGTGTGAACTAGCAGATGGAAAATCTCTCTCTGTCTCTCCCTCTCCCTCTCTCTGTAATTCTTTCAAAAAACAAAAATCTTTTTTTAAGAAAATGTGTAAGTAGGGCTGGCATTCTGGTGCAACAGGTTAAGCCACAGCTTACAATGCTGGCAGCCCATAAATTGGAGTGTGGTTCGAGTCCTGGCTACTTTGCTTCTCACCAGCTGGGAAGGCAGCAGACAATGACTCAAGTTCTTGAGTTCCTACCACCCACCCACATGAGTGACCTGGGTGGAGTTCTTGGCTCTTGGCTTTGTCTAGGCCCAGCCTGAGCTATTGTGACCATTTGGGGAGTGAGCCAACAAGTGGGATTGATCTCTCTCTCTCTCTCTCTCTCTCTCTCTCTCTGTCATTCTGCCTTTTGAATAAATAAATTAACAAATCTTACCATTTGAATGAACGGATACATTATTTCCCTCAAGTGCCAGTGTCCTCATCCATGACATGGAGCGAGCTAACACTTACCCCGTGAATGAGGAAGACAAATGAGTGAATGAGTGGTTCTGAAGTGAGCACTCGGCACTGTGCTGACTTCAGGTGAGCTTTCAGTGCAGAGGAGGTAAACTGATGCAACGATGATGCATACATTTTTCCCCCAGAGGATTCTTCTTTGCTTAAGTTTGCCTTCCATGAACATGAACCTGGTGACCTGAGTTCTGCTCCCCAACCCGATTCAGGTTACACGGCAGATCCATGAGCATGAGCAGGAGAACGAGCTGCGGGAACAGATGTCAGGTTATAAGCGGATGCGGCGCCAGCACCAGAAGCAGCTGATCGCCCTGGAGAACAAGCTGAAGGCTGAGATGGACGAGCACCGCCTCAAGCTGCAGAAGGAGGTGGAGACACATGCCAACAACTCGTCCATCGAGCTGGAGAAGCTGGCCAAGAAGCAAGTGGCTATCATAGAAAAGGAGGTCAGTACGTGCACACGCGCCTCCAGACGGCCACCAGGCCCTGCCCATCGTGGACAGTGGCAGGGTGTTGGGAGGAGGCGGATGTGGTGTGGCTGCAGGAATGGAGGAACATTCCTGCTGGGTTTCCAGGGACGGGAGGGTCCCACCTCTTACATGGCCGCTTAGCATGGTCATTCAGGGATGGCGATGGGCATTTGGCCTAGCAGTTAATATCACATACATTGGAGTACCTGGTTCAACACTGGGCTTCAGCTCCTGATTCCAGTTTCCTGCTAATGTACACCTGGGGAGGCAGCAGTAATGGCTCAAGTAGTTGGGTTCTTGCCGTCCACTTTGGAGACCTGGGTTGAGTTTTTGGCTTTAACCCCGGCCATAGTGGGCATTTGAGGAGTTAACCAGCAGATGGGTTCTGTCTATATGTCTCTCTTTATCTCTCTGCTTATCAAATAAATAAATAAATGTGAACAAAGAAAAGTTAAAAATAAATAAAATTCAATTGTCATTTAAAGCTACCATAGTAGTTCTATATGACATTCTTGTCCATTCTTCTACACTTGAGCATCCGTCTCTTGATGGTAGGCTGGGCACAAGTAAAGGGAATTGAGATGCTGGGCTAGAGAGACCTCTCACCCATGTGCCTGCAGTGTAAAATGGAGTCATCTTCCCTGCCACCCCCACTCGCGCTAAGACTTACATAGTGTGGAGAACTGCAGAGCGCGTGTGGCCCCTGAGCATGGAGTAAGTGGAGACAGGCCGCTGGGTAACTTGGCAGTTAAGCTGTCTCCACGTGGAAGGATACATCAGCTTGTGAGGAAGCAGCCCCCAACAGCCGTCATTTCATGCAGCACAAACCTCTGTCCAAACAGGATCGCTATTGATTAAACAAACCAATCAGTTTCTTTCTGGGGAATGTGACTTGGTAAATAGGTGGAGAGAATTTTTCCTAATGGAAGAATTTTTTTTTTTTTTGATAATGGAAGCAAACAGTGAAAAGGTACATAAACTTATGAGAGCTAAGCTAACCCCCATCTCTTCAGTCCCTCATCTTACATGTGTGCTTCATCTGATGGCTCCCTGAAATGGATTTTTTCACTTGTCAGAGCCAATATTTATTAGATTGCCTTGTATTTGGGCTGTGTTTTATCCACTTTAGACCCCCCAAAATGCTATGATGCCTGAATTTAATGGCTTATGTAAGATATCTAAGAAAACAAAATGTCATTAGTTTTCCTATTAAACATAAGATAATAATACTAGGAAATCGATAGTTGGGATAATTGGTTAGAGCTTGATTCTTGAAATAAAACTGGCCAGTATGATTGTTAATTTTATTTTATAATTTAACCCTGTGACTACCAAGAATATGATAAAAATCCTTTATTATTAATCCTTAGTTCTTTCATCCCAAGAATGTTTTTGTGTTCAATAAGACATGATGATGGATCACCTTCATTTTCCCATAATTGGGAATTTATTTTAAGTGCTAAAATTTTTTCTTCATGTAAGATATGAGATTCAGAGAAAAGATTTCTGTAGTTTGTTTTCATTAATTATTTGTTTAAAGTATTAAATTATTCAGCACGTAGGAGTTGTTTTAATGCTTTAAAGAATGTATACAGCTGAATGTCGTCTATATAAGAGCAAATTCATCTAGATAGTATTTGTTATTTTATCAGGCAAAGGTAGCTGCAGCAGATGAGAAGAAGTTCCAGCAACAGATCTTGGCCCAGCAGAAGAAAGATTTGACAACTTTCTTAGAAAGTCAGAAGAAGCAGTATAAGATTTGTAAGGAAAAAATAAAAGAGGTAAGTGTTCCAGTGTCTGTGGTCACCAAGTTGCCACTGGAACTTGAAATCGACTCTTCCCGCATTGGCATCGCTATTCTAACCAAGCGGTCTGCAAACGTCACATTATCACCGCTGGAAATCCCTACATTTTCTGATTCGGGTGATCTGGAATAGAGTTCAGAAATGGGACTCTCGACAGGTTCTCCAGGGACCACATTTCACGATCCACTGATCTAATTCTAACCTGCTCTTGCTGCTTCTAGGTTATCCTCCCCAATTGAGCCAGAGTGATATTTTTGAATCATAAACCCAGTCACATAACCCTAAAGGGTTTCAGATCCATTAAGGGGCAGGTGTTTGGTGCAGTGGTTAAGCCGCCACTTGGGACACCTGTGCCGATATCAGAGTCCCCAGTTTCGGTTATGGCTTTGCTTCCAATTCCAGTTTTCTGTTAATGTGCACCCTGGGAGGCAGCAGACGATGGCTCAAGTACTTGAGTCCCTGACACCCATGTGGGAGACCCATATTGAGTTCCGGGCTCCTAGCTTTAGCCTGGCCCAGCCCTAGCTGTTGTTGGCATTTGGGAAGTGAACCCTGCAGATGGAAGGTCTCTTTCTGTCTTTGTCTCTCTGCCTTTCAAATAAATAAAAATAAATTAACTTAGGACAGATCAAAATCCTACAAGTCCCTATGTATTCTGGTTCCAGCCAGTGTTACCCCTCACCCCTACCCCACTCTCCACTGTTCCAGTCACAATGGCCACCTTCTGGTTCCTCAAATGTATTAAACTACTCACTTCCATACCATCTTTGCACATAGTGTTTCTTTGGCCAGGATGTTCTTCTTACTTCTGACCCCTCCCTGAGTACATTTCTGCTCATTCCTACTCCTGCTCCTCTTCCTTGTAGGATTCAGGATCATTAGGATCTTAACTCAAATACCACTTCTCTAGAGAAGCCTACGCTAACTTCCTGGACCAAGACAAATGTCTGTGGAGTTTTTAATTCATGCATTTTTAATGATTATTTGAGCTACTTACCCTACTAGCCAGTGAGCATCCGAAAGCAGAGGCCGTGTCTTTCTGATCCCTGGTCCGGTGTAGAATACTTGATAAATGAGGGACAGACTCTGCAGGGTTTGGTTGGAGAACATGAAGAGGACTTTCAGAGTCCTTCTGAAGCAGTGCAGTGTGGCCTGAACGCTAGGATTTCTTCAGCTCTGCTTTCGCCAGCACTTAGAGGTGAATTGTCTGTGGTTCCCTGGACTTTCCTTCTGATAAGATGTAGAATACCTTAGGTGTAAACTTACTAAGAATGAAGCCTTAATAAAACGCAGTATGGGGTGTAGTTCTAACATATGCAGTCATGCATGTAAGCTCATCTTCCATTGTGCAGGTGAACAGTATAGGATTGGTGAGATTCCTCTCCAGCTCAGGGAAAGAAAGCAGAGTGAAGTGGGATGGGCTGTGGGATTTTTTCTCTGGCCAGGGTGGGCCACCAATACTCACAGGGCCAGACAGAAAACTGTATTGGATCCATACTAGCCAGATGGGCAGAATCTCTGCCACTAGAAAGTCTAGAAAATCAGATACAGAAAGAAGCGTCACATACAATCCCCATCTTCTCTTGGTGATTGGCGTAAGCATAACTATGATATAACAGAAGGATGTTACTGGGTCACAGAGGGAATGGAGACTTTTTTTCTTTTTATAAAAGGGTTTATTTACTTGATAGAGTGACAGAGAGAGAGGGAGACAGAGAGATGCTGGTCACACAGGCAGTGGGTTAACCCGCTGCGCCACAATGCCCACCCCTCTTGATTTCTCCAATAAGAAATTCTGAGATTTTCTCAGCTCTGAGTACCTTATTTCTGACTCCACGTGTTTCCTTTTGCTCAGGGGTCCAATCTTTATGACAGTGGCCACCATGTGCAGCCTTGGTGACACTGAGGCATTTGGAGGTTGCGTGAACTCGGCATTTAGAAGCCTCTTCTGGAAAGCAGTGTTCAGAGGCCCCACTCTGCTCTGGCAGAGGTTCTTTTGGGTTCACCGCATTCAGGTTTACGAGCACAGAGACCATAGGCCTGGTCTTTGAGCAGGTTCATGAAGAAAAATAAGCTGAAAGCCAATCTGGGGTAGCTTCAACACCTTCCAGTGCAATCACTACTTATGCAGCAAAGTTTATTTCAGATTACGTAAAGTGACACATATTTTCATACAAGTATGCTCATATACTTACAGATACAATCTCCGTTGTCCCTACTATTGATAGATAATCGATGTAAGGGTAATACAGAATGATGGATGGTCCAGAAATAATTTATCCTTGATTTTGGAGTGAATTTTTATGAATATATTTGAATCTGGGTGTGCAATCTGATAGTTAATGCTAAAGCTAGTGGTGAAATCAGAGTATGGAGAAATGAGTCACCCAGCCTACCTGTTGTGACCCTGCTTACTCCAGGCTGGAAACAGGTCTTTCTCTTCATTCCAAGACTTCACGTAAGACTTCACTGGGACAAGACATTCGAGGGGCTGCCAATGTGGCACAGTGGGTTAAAGCCACTGCTTGTGGTGCCAGCATCCCATATGGGCACCAGTTGAGTCTCAGGTGCTCCACTTTGGATCAGCTCCCCGCTAATGCACCTGGGAAAGCAATGGAAGATGGCCCAAGTGCTTGGGTCCTTGTACCCACATGGGAGACCCAGAGGAAGCTCCTGGCTCTTGGCTTTAGATCAGCCCAGCTCTGCCCATTGCGGCCCTCTGGGGAGTGAACTAAAGGATGGAAAATCTGTCTCTCTCCCTCTCTCTCTTTCCCTCCCCTCCTCTCCCCCTCCTTCCCTCACTCTCTGTAGCTGTCTTTCAAATAAATAATTAAATCTTAAAAAAAGAAAAAAGTTGGCCAGCGCCGCAGCTCAATAGGCTAATCCTCCGCCTGCAGCGCCAGCACAACGGGTTCTAGTCCCGGTCGGGGTGCCGGATTCTGTCCCAGTTGCCCCTCTTCCTGGCCAGCTCTCTGCTCTGGCCAGGGAGTGCAGTGGAGGATGGTCCAAGTACTTGGGGCTTGCACCCCATGGGAGACCAGGAGAAGCGCCTGGCTCTTGGCTTCGGATCAGCGCCGTGCACCGGCCACGGCGGCCATTGGAGGGTAAACCAACGGCAAAGGAAGACCTTTCTCTCTGTCTCTTTCACTGTCCCCTCTGCGGTGTCAAAAAAAAAAAAAAAAAAAAAAAAGAAATGTTGGTTTACAAGAACTTTTTGGCCAAGTGCAAAAGTAATCTAAATAGTATATATTGTGTGCCGCCCAAAGCGTGAAGTAAAATAGATGTTAGTAATGAAGGGGTGATTCAGCTGCATGAGTAGATGAGTAGTTGAGAAAACAGGAGCACAGGTCAAACTGGTCAGAGAAGAGAACCCTGCGCTTTCTCTAAAAGTGGCCTTCTCACCTTCACCGTGGGTTGACGCCTCATCTGCTCCGATTTACTGCTTTTACCCATTGCACACATGTTCTGGAAAAGGTCTGAATTCTTCTCTTGAAAACAGAGTTTTTTTTTTAACTTCTAATCTCAAATGACGCTTGCTTTTCCCTGAAATTCAAACTAAGGATATTTGCATAATCGCCTGGTTTTTTTATTTCTTAATGTGCCTCGTCACCAAGCTCCGATCATCTGCACCTCGCAGTGGCCTCCAGGCTGTCTCTGCAGGCCTGCCTTCGCCTGCCTCATCCCGTTCTCCACATGACAGGCAGAGTCATCTGTGTGAAATAGCGCCTCATCATGACACACACATCTCGCCAATCTCTTTCTCGTGTGCTGAAGACTGGAGTCCTTAACTTGGCCTCTCAGCCTCAATGGCCCTGCCTGCCTTGCCATCCACATCTCATAAGTCACCCTGTCGACCACCCTGGCCATGTTTCCTCCCCCACCCTAAGGGTTTTGCCTCTGCCTTTTCCTCTGCCTAGGGTCTTCTTCCCTCTTCTTTTCCACTGGTTAACTACTACCAATTTTTCAAATTTCAGCTTAGTTGTTACCAAGCCCAAACACTTTCTGTTAAACATTACGGCAGGACCAAGTACATCATCTTCACAGCAGTTATCACCATAATTTTCAGTGCATTTCTGTAGTTCTTGGATTAATTTTGATTCTATTCTGCAAAGCCCCATGATGGCAGACACCATGTTGTTTTGTTTTCCATTGGATCCTTGTGTCTTGCACAGTGCCTTTAACAGGTACACGTTTAGTGTGTATTGGCCGAATGAGTGAGCAAATAATTTCTGAGACTGAGAAGCCAGTAATGTGGAAACTCACAAGTGTCCCTTTCACACAACAATCACTGGGGGGAAAAGCTTTGGGGTAGGGGTGTTGTTCAACACCAAAACCTTCTGCCCTTCCATTTCATTTCTTAATCATTTCAAATAATTTGATCTGCATTTGCAATAATCTGTTATAGTTCCTTTTGTTTGATGAGACCAGCTTTGTTTGTTTGTTTGTTTGTTATGTTTAAGGAAATGAATGAGGACCATAGCACACCCAAGAAAGAGAAGCAGGAGCGGATATCCAAGCATAAAGAGAACTTGCAGCACACACAGGCTGAAGAGGAAGCCCACCTTCTCACTCAGCAGAGACTGTACTACGACAAAAACTGTCGTTTCTTCAAGCGGAAGATAATGATCAAGCGGCATGAAGTGGAGCAGCAGAACATTCGGGAGGTACGTGCTGTGTTCATCAGGGCTGTCCCTGCGACGGGGAGCCGTGCGGGGGGCGTGACCACATGGCCACGTCTGTGCTGCTCACTCCTAGAGCCTTAGCCTTTACGGCCTGTGGCACAGTGCCAAAACAATTCAGGGAAGGAATTTACCTTTGGTAAGAGAAGCCCATTGCAGAACAAGCAAGCAACCTTTTCCAAATAAATGCAATAGAATTTATTATAAGCCATGGCATGTAGTAAAGAATCAGAAGAAGTAGAATAGAGTGTTTTTGCCTTCAACCTGCTTTTGTCAGACACTTGTCTATTTTACGACTCCATGTCAAACATCGAGGTGACAGGCTGGGGCTCTGAAACTAAGTCCATGCCTTCAGAGGGCTCCCTTTGTGCCAGGCACTGGGCCAGAAGCCAGGGCCACCGAGAAGCCATACTCCCTGCCTGCGAGTGGCCCCAAGTCTAAGAGGAGACACAGATGTGTAAGAGACCAATTACAATCCACTGTGTCAGGCACAAAAACAGACACGTCAAGAAAGTGTCGTGAGCACATAGTCATGCAAGGGCTTGGGGGATTCCGGGACTGATGGGCGGTTGAGTGTGACCAGAGTCGTGGACGTGTCGGGTGGAGCAGCGGAGCAAGATCAGCTGGAAGCAGGCTGCAGAAGGCCTCGCTTAGGGCAAGGAATTCAGACTTAAACCCACGGCCACCAGAGGCTTCTAAGCATGAGCGTGCCATGAGGAGGCTGTGCCTTGATTCGGGGAACTGGCGCGCTGGTGTGGGGCCAGGCTGGCTGGTGAGAAGTCACGGACAGCAAGATCAGCCCAGGTGCTTTCAGGTTCCAGCCTGGGGGAGGCAGGGGCCACAGAGGGAGCAGATCAGGTCTGGGTGACATTTCTGAAGCAGAACTGATAGTGATTCTTACCAAATGGATGTGGCATTTCAGAAGAGGGAGGAGTCAAAAATGACTTCAAGTTTCTAACGTGGGGGTGGGGGTGGGGGTGGGGTGTGATGGCCTTCACTACGATGAGGAAGGCGGAATGTGAGTCAGTGCAACAGGACCTCATCGCAAACTGGAGGCATCGGAGGAAAACTCCTAAAGAGCCAGCGTGCTGCTAAAATAGTAAAGTGTGCGGCGGCCATTGGAGGGTGAACCAATGGCCAAAGGAAGACCTTTCTCTCTGTCTCTCTCTCTCACTGTCCACTCTGCCTGTCAAAAAAAAAAAAAAAAAAAAAAAAAAAAAGTAAGTGTTCACCTGCTTGAAGGAACAAGCACATTCAGACACAATTAACAGCAAAGTGGGTCGGAATCACTTTTTGGAGAACCATATTCCAGGGGAAGAAGACAGGGTGAAGCAAACTGAAATTTATTGAACACATACAGTTACTGGCCAGGCTCAGGCTCTTCCTGTGTGTCATCTCATCTTATTGGGAGAGGCAGGAACTACTGCATTTTCTGAGCAGGACAGAAATATGTCTTAAATTGTACTTTAGAGAGATCAGCCCAACTTGGTGGTGTTGCACAGACTGACTAGGACGTGCGTTCTCTTTCTCTCCTGAGAGATTCAGGAAAAGACAAACAGAATCAGAGAGAGCTCCCATCTGCTGGTTTATTCCCCAAATGCCTCTGATGGCCAGGAAGGGCCAGGGCCAGGGCCAGGAACAAGATCTAGGATGCTGATGTGGGTGACAGGGACCCAGCTACCTGAGCCGTCCCCTCTGCCTCCGAGAGTCTGCACTGGGGGGAAGCTGGAATCAGGAGGAAAAGCTGGGAATGGAACCCAGGCACTCTGATGGGGGATGTGGGCATCTTACCTGCCAGGCTATATGCCTGCTCCCGGAACATGCGTTCTCAGTGAGGGTGACAATACACCCACAGGGGGAAAACCGGTTCTTGTCCAAGGAAAGTGTCTTGGATCTCACAATGACTTGTGGTCTTCTGAAGGGCATGGTACATACACAGGTACAAAGAGAGAGCTGGGTTTGAAACAGATTTAGAGTATAAAATAAATAGGGCTCAGGGGCCAGCGCTGTGGCGTAGCAAGTAAAGCTGCCACCTGCAGTGCTGGCATCCCATATGGGCACCAGTTGGAGTACCAGCTGCTCCACTTCCGATCCAGCTCTCTGCTGTGTCCTGGGAATGCAGTGGAAGATGCCCAAGTCCTTGGGTCCCCATACCCACATGGGAGACCTGGAAGAAGCTCCTGGCTCCTGGCTTTGGATTGGCACAACTCAGTCCATGTGGCCAACTAGGGAGTGAACCAGTGGATGGAAGACCTCTCTCTCTCTCTCTCTGTGTAACTCTGACTTTCAAATAAATAAATAAATCTTTAACAAAAAAATAAACAGGGCTCAAGAGACAACGGGGGAGAACCATAATTATGTCTAGAGAAATGTAGATTTGGATAAAAACAGAGAAGCTTGGAGCGGGTGGTTCAGTGACAAATTGATCCATTCAGTACTGGACATTTTGAGTCTTGTTAGAAGCCAAAAAATCAAAATGAAAAAGTCTAATAGGATATGTTGGATTTTTCTCATCTGGCAGTTATTGTTTTCTAATAGCATGCATTTGGAGGAAATCTGAGGCTAAAGGAATAATTATCGTCAATCAAAGATCTAGAAAGTACTTGCTCCCTCAGAAGGACAGGAACTGTGTGACTTCATCAGGATCAGATTCTGACCAACTGAGCAAAGAGTAACTCAGTCAGGGCATTTCTCTTCAGAGCCTAAGTTTTCCTTATTTTAGAGCTGCCTTCCTGAAAACATTCAAGGTTTTTCTTTCTATTTACAAAAGTAATAAAATAACATTGAAGAAAGACTGATATCGAATATATTAAAGCTCACTACTAAGAGTTCTTCATAACAGCTTTACTGAGATGCCAGTGACACATAAACAATGCGTATATTTATGATATGTAGCTTGATATTTTGATATATGAATAATTTGTGAAATGATCACATTCAACATAATTAACATACATAAGAGAACTTCAGAAAATGTGTGGGAAAATAGTGTTTATTTTGGTGCAAAAAATCTTGAAATCTATGCATAGTTTTTTGATAATATGAATTTCCCACTTTTCAAAGACCCCTCATATGTCTCTTCTACATTTTTATTTGTGTGTGCATGTATACATACATTGTGTGTGTTAGAAAGATCTGATTTAAAATCTAACTTAGCAAATCACAGGTATGCAGTACAATATAATTAAGTATGTCACAATTCTGTTATTTAGATCTCCAGGGATCACATGACTGAAGCTTTGTAATATTTCCCTAACCTTACCCTGTTTCTCCTTTCTTGATTCCCATCCTCCCAAGTTCTACATGAAGGCAGTCATCATTGACTTGCTATATATATATATATATACACATACATATTTCTGGGTTTTTCCCCCTCTATATGCACATATAGCTTATATGTTACAAATTATTTTAACTTTACAAAAATGAGATTATTTTTGTGTCTGTGGGTTATTTGATTTGCAAGCAATAGCAATAAACGTGGAAAGGAATTTGTTGGAAGGATATGGAGTAGGTGACAGAGCTGGCAAACGGAACTGGAAAAGATGAAGAACCACACTGGAGAAGCAACTTCCGTGACGTAGAAGGCAGGAACTAATGGATGCTCCTCAAGGCACTGCCGTTTGGATGTGTTTCTAGTCTTTGTTTCATTTCTGTTCAAGATTCAGATTCATAGGAGCAGGAGAATGAGATGGGTGCTATGCCTACCCGTTACTCACCACTCGCTGATTCCAGATAGAAGGGAGTGGTTTCCGAAAGCTAAAAACAGAACCTGTAGACAGAGGGAGGGAAGATGGATGCTGATCGACAGAGAGTGACTGACGTCCACTCTACTGCTTTGTGACTCTTTTTCTCCCCATTTACTATCTGGCTCGCACAGCTGTCATTCTTGTAAACCTAATAGTATTTAATCTAATACTGTAGTTATACTAGTTACACAGCTTTTTAAAAAGATATTTATTTATTTTTATTTATTTGAAAGACAGAGTTACAGAGAGAGGTAGAGGTAGAGAGAGAAAGAGGTCTTCCATCCACTGGTTCACTCCCCAAATGACCACAATGGCCAGAGCTGAGCTGATCTGAAGCCAGGAGCCAGGAGCTTCTTCCAGGTCTCCCACGTGGGTGCAGGAGCCCAAGGACTTGGGCCATCTTCCACTGCTTTCCCAGGCCATAGCAGAGAGCTGTACAGGAAGAGGAGCAGCTGGGACTCTAATCGGCACCCATATGGGATCCCAGCACTGCAGGCTGGGACTTTAACCCACTGCGCCACAACACCGGCCCCGTGTTACGTGGGTTTAAGATAATTAATTTATTGAGGCACTTCTCATTGGCAGTTTGTTGAGGCTATACAATATCACCAGCAATGCAACAGAGAAAATATACACAGATAGTTGTACACATACATTAAGCATTTTATAGGCTATATTCTCAGAAGTGGAAGTTTGGGGTCAGAAGAGTGTACATGTCTGAATTTTTAAGTACATATTGCCAAACTGCCCTCTACAGCAGCTCATGCTTCCTTCAGTAACGTAGAAGGTGCCTGTTTTCCTGTGTCTGCCTACACTGAATATTAGTTATCCTTTTCACTGTGAAGACAGTTAAAGGGGTCACCATAAACTGGGTTGAGCTGCTTCCTCCATCACCACCACACACCATTTCCTAGCCAGCCGTTGAAACTAAGAACTGAAACTAGGCATTGACTGTCACAGGCTAACCACATCTCCTTTTACAAGCGGGAATGTTAGTTCTGACTCAGCCTCAGTGAGCGTGAGGAGAAAAGCTTGTCCTGAGCAAGAGCAGCTGCCTTATAAGAGGCTGCTACCACTGCCTTTGGAAGCTAAAACGGAGTGCCTGGAATACAGCTGGGGGCGGGGACGTTAGGGGACGCGGCCTGGAGCCACCTCCCAGCAGCAGGCGGAGTCGCACAAGGCATGGCACCGTGTTAGGGACCGTGTTGTGTAATATCCACATTAGCTTCAACTCTGAGCTCACACTCAGCCTGGGGAGATGCACGCGGTGTGTGATGCGGGCTGAGGGGAGGGGCCTGTGCCCATCTCTGTCCTCACATTTTCTCCAGGGCATGTATACATTGAGGGCTTTGGTGGGCAGAAATGCCAGGACCATCAAATCTGGTGTTTTTTTTTTTTTTTTTTTAATTTTTGCTCACTCATTTTGTAGAATTTATGCAAGCTAAAGGTACACATGATATGGCTCTAATGCACATTGTGTCATTTGTACAGATGAAGTAACCGCAGCATTGCCTTTGGCTGGAGCAAGGAAATTCTCCCAAATATTGTATCACCAACTAAAAACATACAACTCAAAAATAGCCATTCATTGGGACTTTTTTTTTTTTTTTTTCAAAGATCTATCTATTTACTTGAGAGGTGGAGTTACAGACACAGAGGAGAGACAGAGGTCTTCCATGTGCTGGGTCACTCCCTAAATGGCTGCACAGCTAGAGCTGGGCCAGTCCAAAACCAGGAACCAGGAGCTTTTTCCAGGTCTCCCACGCGAGTACAAGAATCCAAGCACTTGGGCTATCTTCTGCTTTCCCAGGCCATCAACAGGGAGCCAGATTGGAAGTGGAACATTTTAGGCCTTGAACTGGTGCCTATATGGGATGCTGGCACTGTAGGCAGATGCTTAACCTACTATGCCACAGTGCCAATCCGGGAACTTCTTTTAATGGGAAATGTTGAATATCTAAAAACCGGAGTTTTATCTTTTTTAATATTTATTCATTTGAAAGGCAGAGTTACAAAAAGAGAAGGAAAGACAGATTGTCCATCCCTCTGGTTCACTCCTCAAATGACTGCAATAGCCAGGACTGGACCAAAGCCTGGAGCTTCATCCAGGTTTCCCACACTGGTGGCAGGAGCGCAAGTACTTGGGCCATCTAACTCTGCTTTCCCAGGCACATTGGCTGGGAGCTGGGTTGGAAGTAGAGCAGCGAGGACTTGAACCAGCACCCATACGGGTTGCCAGCTTTGCAGCTGGTGTCACTGCACACAACACCGGACACAAGACCTGGGTTTTAGTCTCAGGTCTGTTTTACAGAAGTTGTTTGTTCTTAATGTTCCCTCAACCCCAAATGTGTCACTCTCACATATAACAGGGATAAATCCTTGAAATTTTATCACTTTGTAGACTTGCAGTTTTAAACATTCAAAGCGTATCACACATTACTCTGGATTCAATAAGCCAAGTGATGCGTTGGTTTTTTTTTTTTCCTTCTTGGGTTAAAATATCATTGGCAGCTTACCATTTAAAACTCAACAACTTTGTACAAATTAAAGGTAAAGGGCACAGTCTACAACTGTAACAGGAAAAGGATTGTGTTTCTCTCACTGTTCTAATATTTTTTTTTAAAATTTATTTATTTGAAAGGCAGAGTTACAGAGAGACAGAGAGAAAGAGAGAGAGAGAGAGAGGTTTTCCATCCGCTGGTTCACTCCCCAAGTGGCAGCAACAGCCGGAGCTACACTGATCTGAAGCCAGGAGCCAAGAGCTTCCTCCAGGTCTCCCACATGGGTGCAGGGGCTCAGGGACCTGGGCCATCTTCCACTGCCTTCCCAGGCCACAGCAGAGAGCTGGATCAGAAGAGGAACAGCCGGGACTTGAACCGGTGTCCATATGGGATGCCGGCACTATAGGTGGCAGCTTAACCCACTATGCCTCAACGCCAGCCCCTCTAATAATTTCTTAAAATTTAAGCTATCACATGCTAGTTATTCACTTTTGAATGCTGAATAATCATACATATTTACATATTCTGAAGTATTTGTTTATGGCCTTTCTTTTCACCTTCATAAATGTGGTGTTATGGTGGCTACTGTTATCCTCACTGTGCTTCCAAAAGGACTAAAGTGTAGATCAGGAGACTTGCCCAAAGCCATAGATAATGAGTCAGTGAGGAGCGGACACTGATTCACACCCTGAGCATGTTAGCTTGTCAGGAAGACCCCTTACTTGTATCCTAAGCAGTTCCGACGCTGGTAGGTGAAGCGGATTTCATTCAACACTGAGAGAGAAAGGCTTCATTTCTTCTCCAAATGTGCCTTTGCTTTGCGCCTTAGTTCCCTCCCCCGCCACCATGAGTTTCAGGTCTGTGGGCGGCTTAGACTCAGTTTGGACTTCTCAGTTTAGGAAAAGTGTACACATGCCCGGCACTGGGACTCCTGGAATTCTAATGTCCAACATGATGTCGTGACCCAGGACCGGGACATTTGCCCATTTAAAGGGCTTTCTTTGACTCTTGGTTGGTCTGGGATAGCGCTAGCCTGTGGGGAGGGCTCACTGTCATATGGTGCCACCTAGGGGCTAGTTACCAATCTTTAAATGAAGAAATTTTACAGTCCAGGTGAAGGGGAAAAATTCAAACAAGCAAAAGAAAAACCCAGAGGGAGATGTGGAGACATGCTCTAGGAAATTACCTTTTATTCCTTAAGACAAGATTAAATTCTGTTTATACTTTGAATATTTTTGCTCTAGAAAATAGGTTCCAATGAAGGGATGTGCTGGTTCATTGCTCTATACCTTGTGCCTGTGGGCCCAACACATAGTAAGTGCTCAACAACTCTGAATAAATGAATGGATGATTAGAGACTGCGCTCTCCTACCAAATGCTGTCTGTTGAGAGGACTTCTCTTCAATGGACAGAGGACCAAGTAGGCAAGATATTCTCAGACACGCTGAGATACCAACGCTGTTGACATTTCTGTGGAATAAATGACTTGCATTTTCCCCCATAGTGGATGCTGATGGAGAAGAGAGGCACCTGTTCTAATTTCATCTAGCTCAAAAGTTTTTCCCTTCCCTTGGCCTTCCTAACTCGTTCTAACATCACCCTTTTCAGAAATCAATGTTGACCTCTTTTGTAAAACCTGTCACTTCTCCGTTCTTTCAAATTTTCCCATAAAACTTATTTCCCTGTATTAATTAAAGTTGTTTTGTTTGCACGTTAGCTGAAATTAGTTTTAGCTAGCTTAAGCCAAAACCATGGAATTTACCCCAGAAATACAGGACTGCCTCATAAACCCAGCAGCAGGAAGACTGGGCTCCTAGGAGGACTTACACCGGCGCTCTCAGATCAGTGCTCTCGGCATGGACGTCGTCCCTGCATTCCTTCTCCCCTCTCTGCAGTCTTCAAGCCCAGGTTCCTCCAGTCCTCGGTGCTCATAGCAGCAGGCTGCCGCACGTGTAGCTGTATAAGCCACACAGTGCCAGCCAACCACAGCGTGTAATTGGTGCTGACTCCAATTCCCAATGCCCAGCTTGAGCTACCTGTCTACCTCCGACCCGGTCAGCCAGGAGCCAAGCATGTATGCACACCTTGACAGATGTCTGTGAACGTCCCCATTAGGATGTTAGCAAGTTGAGGACAGAAGTCATACCCTACTATCCATGTGGACGTATGCAAAGGACATGGTTCAGTTGTCTGTATGTAGTGCCACGTAGGAAATATTCTTGAATTGGTGAATGAAAAAGTTTCACCCAACTTCCCCTTTTTATTTCTACTTTGCCTTTCTTCCTTGCCAACAAGAATGAAAGAGACAGGAAGACAGACAGACATTAATAGAACTGAAAACAGAGTAATGAGTTCTAGAAGTGATCAGAGACTATAATGGAGAGGATGAAAGGGGAAAGATCTTATCTGCTTTTTCTTAGTATGCTTTGAACCCTTAGATCAATAGATTATTTATTTTTAACTTTTTTTTTATTTGACAGAGTTATAGACAGTGAGAGAGAGACAGAGAGAAAGGTCTTCCTTCTGTTGGTTCACTCCCCAAATGGCCGCTACAGCCAGCGCAGCGCCACTCCGAAGCCAGGAGCCAGGTGCTTCCTCCTGGTCTCCCTTGCAGGTGCAGGGCCCAAGACATCCTCCACTGCCCTCCCGGGCCACAGCAGAGAGCTGGCCTGGAAGAGGAGCAACTGGGACTAGAACCCGGCACCCCTATGGGATGCCAGTGCCACAAGCAGAGGATTAACCAAGTGAGCCATGGTGCCGGTCTATTTTTTACTTTTTTAAAAATTTATTTAGTTGAGAGGAAGAAAAGAGCACTTCCAGCTGCCATTTTACTCCCCCAATGCCTGACTTGACCAGGGATAGGCAAGTTCAAAGCTGGAAACAGGGGCAGCCCAAGTCTTATATGTGGGTGGAGGGAATCCAGTTACTTGAACCATGGCTTCTGCCCCTCAGGATCTGCACTGGCAGGAAGCTGAAGCCGGAGCCAGGAATCAAAGCCAGGCACTGCCATATGGAACACGGGTGCCTTACTGCTAGGCTAAACGCGTACTCTTGGCCTACTTCTGATACAGGCAAATGCACACTGTTTCCCAGAAACTAAGACATTGCTGACGCTATCAGTTTAATACCCTGTCTCAACCCTGATTGCATGTGGGAGTGGCCTGGAGAGCACCTGCACCATTGCCATCAGCCCCGCCCCTCCCCCAGGCAGCTATCCCCATTTTGGGTTGTGGGGGTCAAGCATCTTACGTTTCAACAGTTTCCTCTCATGAGTTTAATGGGCAGACAAAGCATAGAACTGGAAGTTTAACTGAGGAAACATTGAGACGTAACCGTAGCACGTCACCTAAGTAAGGTTTGCAACGGCTCCTTGAGGTAAGGGAGATAAGGGAGAATTAATCCCATTTTACAGACAGTCCGGGTGTGACTGCCGTGAGGTTGCCCAGCTGGTGAGTGGTGGACCCACAGAGAGGACCTCAGCCCCCGGAGGTTGTGAATGCCATCTGATCAGGCCGTGCTGCTGAACACTGACGGGTTGCCTGAACAGGGTCAGCAGTGCCTTTCCTGGCCATGCCTCCCCTAGTGCGCGCGAGCCTTCCAGTCCTCTCCATTCACCTCCATGTGTCTTCTGTTCCTGAATGCAGGAACTCAATAAGAAGCGGACGCAGAAGGAGATGGAGCACGCCATGCTGATCCGGCACGACGAGTCCACCCGAGAACTGGAGTACCGGCAGCTGCACACGCTACAGAAGCTACGCATGGATCTGATCCGTTTACAGCACCAGACTGAACTGGAAAACCAGCTGGAGTACAATAAGAGGCGAGAAAGGGAACTGCACAGAAAGCATGTCATGGAACTTCGGCAACAGCCAAAAAACTTAAAGGTGAGAGGAACTGGAGTGTTGCCCTCTTTGTGCCCAGGACACAGCGGGACGGGACCGCCACTGCCTCCTATACTCGGGTGTCTACCAGAGTCACCTGAGCAACTTCTCAGAATCACAGATCTTGGAGCCCCGCGCCCGCTGAATCAAGCCCAAGGATCTGCTTTGACAAGCCCCTGAGGAGGTGCCGCTGGCTAGGCTGCTTGGAGACCGCTGTGCGACCTGATCTCTCGGTTGTCCTCTCTCTCAGCCCTCCATGAGCTGCCTTTTTAAAGCACTCCTGTCCGAATCCCGGGAAATGAGTGATACTGGCAGAAGCTACCTTGAGTGCTGCTCTGCCTACCATTGGGACGCGCCAGCCAGATCCAGGCTTAGTAGGAAAGAGTGGTCTATTAGTGATGTCTGTCACAGGCCTGGGACATGGCACTGAGTCCAGAGGTCTCGGACATTTACTCCCCTTGCGTGGAGGGATGTTCCTGTATGGAGGGAACCCTCTGGCCCCCCCTGCCTCCGGCTGATTCTAGCTGGCCGCTATTGAACAAGCGCTATGTGCTAAGCCATTGCTGCCTGCCAGGGAGGACACTGTCACTGCTGGCACAGCTAGGAGGTCAGCCTCCATCACACCAGCTGTGCTCTAAGTTGTCTCAATAGGGATCTGTGTTAGCAGAAGTCCTCAGAGTGTTCCTGAAAGGCACCCATGACAATGGGGCAACCTGACGGAGTGCCTTCTGGCCTTAAGAATACACTCCTGCTTTTCCCCGCCAACAACAAATGCACATTTGACATGGCTCGTGCAAGCACAACCCCTTGATGGGGGAAAGAGAGTCAAAATCACTTTTGTTTCCCACTTTGTGCTGAAATCCAGTGTGAGTGGGTTCGGATGTGAAGTACTATCCAGATGTTCTCCTCTATTGATTTGTCAAGGAAACACTATAAGCCAGAGCAGTGAAAGCTAGTTTATATAATGTCAGCCCCTTCTCACTTGGAAACGGCAAAGAAAAGGGGAAAAAATACATAAGATGCTAAAGACTTTGACTAGGAACCATGAAACTAATTGCCAACCTTTGAATAGGCTGAGCTTTATAGTATTCCACAATCTGCCCAAAGCTGTCTTCTCCTTGTTATGATCCATGTATCTTTGAAGCCATTTGAAAATTCAAAATTATTTCCTTTCTTTTAATATAAAACTGAAAGTATTGGCAGAGTTAACTCTTGCCTGTGTCATACACATGTTCATTATTACTGACTAGTTTTGTGGGTCACTGCCCCAGAAGATAGAAGGCCCACGTGCTAGTATTGTATCATTACAACGGGAAACTTTCTGTATGTACTAATGTGTCTTTCTTTATCTTCCCCTTGTTACTTTTTCTACACAGGCCATGGAAATGCAAATTAAAAAACAGTTTCAGGACACTTGCAAAGTACAGACCAAACAGTATAAAGCACTCAAGAATCACCAGTTGGAAGTTACTCCAAAGAATGAGCACAAAACAATCTTAAAGACACTGAAAGATGAGCAGACGAGAAAACTTGCCATTTTGGCAGAGCAGTATGAACAGAGTATAAATGAAATGATGGCCTCTCAAGCGGTAAGTGGTTAGGTTTGGTGCCACAGCTGCAAGAGCTTTGGGAATCAAGGAAATTCAAGATCCAGCCTTTTGTTGCCAGGATGATTCTTGCACACATTTAGGATATTGGTGTTTTTCTGCTCAAAGAAGTGAGACAAGGACGACGCTGAGTAAAGCCACGCCAGTGTGATGCTTGCTGGAGAGTGTCGTATGAGATGGAGCTCAAGGAATGACGTGCCAGCCCAGATCCGTGGCACACAGGGCCTTGAGGGCAAGACGTGATAGCCACCACCTATAATGTCATCTGTTCGTTCATCAGAGGCCTACCAAGCACCACTCCCAACTTGACAGGCACAGATGAACAAGGCACAGCTCTGTCCTTACAGAGCTCTCAGTCAAGGGAGGAAGCTAGATAGACACACACATTCGTCCAATAAGCTTTTGCTAAGCTTTTGTGTTCAGCACTCTGCGGGCTCCAAGATAGTGCTGAGCTAGACAGACAGTCGGTCTCTGTCCTCATCCTTTTTGGCAGTCAAACCAGGTCAGATAATTAAGCAATAATGAGAAAGCATAGTAAGTGCTTTGAAGTGGGAGGTGCTGGGAGGTGCTGGGAGGTGCTGGGAGGTGCTGGGAGCTGTGGGAGGCAAGTAGAGATAACGCCTCTGGTCTAAGAAAAGCTGTCCAGTGAGAGCCAAGGGGATTTTAGGAATCCATTGAAGTAAATGTGTTGTTCGAAAGTGGGACTGACGAAGGCAAATGTCTAACCAATGGGAAGCGTGTGTCTGGGGACTGACAGAAATTGTGTGCGAGCCCATAGTTCAAGGAGGAAGATCATGGGAACCCAAAATAGAGAGGTCATAAAGGTCTTGGTCAGCCAGGGCTAGGAGCTTGCCTGGTAACACAGAGAAGATCTCACAGGGAGATGAGTCTGAAAGAAGAGGGAGTTTACCACACCGGCAGAAGAGGAAAAGCTTTTCCTGGTAGAAGTTACAGTCCTGAGAAACAGGAAGCAGTTGCTGTTTAAGGAAAGCTGGGAGACGCTCAAGGGGTCCAGACCTCAGAAGCCAGGAGTGTGGACATCACTGTGTAAACACTGGAGAGTTGTTGAAGCCTGTTTTAAGAAGGAAAGTAACAGGGTTCTATTTGTGTGATAGCAAGATATGTGGCAAAGAAAGGTGATGCAACTGTTAGGAAGCTGTTGTGATAGAGCAGGGTAAAACGATGGGGCCTGAACCAACAGCATGCCGCTGGAGACGGGGAGAACTCAGTGGCCGACTTGGAAGGTGGGCTTGACAGCAGAGCAGAATCGTTTTACCAAGATAGAAAAATGAAGGAGTTGTGAGTTTGGGTGCATAGGAAGGCAACTGGCGAAGTTGTGGACGTGGTATCTAAGTTCTGTGGGTGTCCAGGTTGAGAGGTACAGGTTTGCAAACCTGTAGTTCAGAAGGGATATCGGGATTGAAGACAAAGAAAAAAAAAACACACAGTTGCTATATGGGAACAGTTGGTAACAGATGTCCTGCTAGGGACAGGAAATTGTACTAGAGAGGGAGGGGACAGAGGGCAGAGCCTGGTGGACACTAACATTTGAGGGCCGAGTAGAATAAACCTGAAGGGGTAAATAATCAAAAACACAGAAGAAAGAGAAAGCGCATGCCACGTGAGCCAGAGCAGACGGTTCAGTGGAGGATTTCAAACGTTACAGGGACCAACTGGAAATAGTGAGCTTTGAGGTGTGCCCTCTGTTAGAGGATTTTTCCTTTTTTTTTTTTTTTTTTTTTTGTCACAGACTGGAGTGATGGGAATAAGAAAGATCATAGTGCATCCAGAGTGATTACAAAATGACGGGGGACTTTCAATGAGTTTGCTTTCCCTAGATCCTTGTCAGTGAAGGAAAAGAGAAGGAGAGAGGCTTAAAGTGTTCTTAGGCTGAGGATGGGAGCTAGTGCACTCCATCCGTCCATCCGTCCGTCCGTCCATCCAGCATTTGGAGTGCCTGCACTGTGCCCCAGCTTCCCAGGATACCGTGGTAGATAGGCTCATCCCTGATCATGTCTTCGTGGAATTCACAGAAGAATGGAGGAAGCAAATCTTGAAAAAGTCTACCCCATCTAATGCCAGAGCAAGTGCAAGATGCCAGCAGAGGGTAGAATAGAGTTGGCCTGGCCTGGAGAGTCCGGAACGGCCTCTCTGACATGACTACGCAGGCTGAAGAGTTCCATGCATAAAGACGAGACAGGTGGCACTTCGGAGGAATCCATCATATTTAGAATGTAGAGAACTAGGAGACCAGCATGAGGATAAGACGAGGGCTGAACAGGGACCAGGTCGTGTAAGGGCCTGCAGGCTTTATTAAGAATGTTGTCTTTATCCTACAAATAATGGGAAGCCATCGAAGAGTATTCAGTAGGGGCCTGGCATCAGATTTGTAATTTTGAACATCACTTGATGTTATATGGAGAATGGCCTGGAAGATGAAGGCAAGGCCCTAAGGAGGTCTTTTCTGAAGTTGCTGCTGGTGCCTGGGCATGAGAGGGTGATTGGGCTGAATGGGGAAGTGGCCACATCTGAGAGCTAGGCAGGAAGCAGACTTCAGAGCGTTCAGTGATGGACAGAGTTGTGGAGAGCCAGGTATCATGGATGACTCGCAGTTCCAGACTTGAGCAAAATGATAGGTGATGGTGCCATTTACCTACACGGTAAGAAATGAAGTGGAACAGATTAAGAAAGTGGGAAGGGGAAGCTAATGAGTTAGTACTGGTTGCTTTGAGCGTGAGGGCCGGGGAACCATCCAGGTGAAGACACCTGAAGTAGACCGGATAAGCTAGTCTGGCCCTCAGAAGGGAAGTCTGAAGTAGACATAGAGGTGTGGGAGTCAATGAAACATCTGGAATAAATGAGGCTCCTTAGGAAGAGAGGTTGGAACAGGGCCCAGATGGACGCCCGGAGGAACAACACTGAATAAGGTCTAGGTAAGTAGGGACTGGCTGGGGAAGGAGTCACCAGAATAGGGAGGAAATCACCAACAAGGCACAGAATCTCAGAGACAAGAGAAAGAGTTCAGGAGGGGCAGGTGAATACTAGGAGGTCTGGGAAGATAAAAGCCACTCCAAGGTCACCAGAGGCCTTGTGGGAGCAACATAAGGAGAGGGGTGGCGAGAGAGGCGTCCCAGGTAAGGAGAAGGGGTGAGAGAGCAGATGGAGACTGGAGGTTGACGAGGCTGTTTCTCACTCACGGCTGTGTTCCCAGCATCTGCAGCAGTGCCTGCACACGGCAAGTATTCAGGATGTTCTATTGGATAGGAGAGAACGGGATCAGGACTGTGGGCTCATGGTTAGCCCTGACAGAAGGAGAGGAGATGGAAGTGTATGTGGCCACACAGCTGTCCTCTGCTGACCGCTGCTTCCCACGTGCCAGGCACTGCTGTGTGGACTTCGTAGACGTCATTTCATTTTTGTGAAACCCTTTTGAACTGCTGCTAAAAAGGTCACTGGTTTAATCCTAATTTACCTGTAAGGAAACAGGTTCATTGGAGTAAAGCTCTTGCTTAGGGCAAGAGTTGGCAAATTTGTTCTTTAAAGGGTCAAAGGGTAAGTATTTGAGGCTTTGTGAACCATAGGATCACTGTACTGCTGTCAGCTGCGTCGGCTATTATAGTGCAGAAGCATCTGTAGACAGTATGTCAGTGGGTGAGTATGTCTCTGTCCAACAGAACTTTACCTGGCAGCAGGCCATACTGGCCCCTAGGCTTTGCCAGCCCCACTGCATAGAGGACACATAGCTAGCTAGTGGTAGAGCTTGGATTCGAACCCATCTGGGGTGGAGTCTGTACACCTTCGTGCTTGACCACTACTACATGCTGCTGCCTCTGTCACAGTTTAAGCCACTCCAAAAGACAGACATGACATTTACCTGTCTCTTAGACACCATTTTGATGAATTTGGCACCTGCAGCTTTGCATGATGGATACCAAATTCTGGAATATCTTCTGATTTCTTGCACTGGGGTTTTATAGTCTAAGCTGGTGAAGAACAATGTAGTTTTGGACATTTTTAATAGAATGCCAGAAAAAAAAAAAAAGAAGTTAGAGATGTTTCAGTGGTCTAAACTGCCCATCCCACGGAATGAGCCGCTCACCCATCTGGCCAGGGCTTATAGGCACAAATGTGGATGAGTAGGAAAGAACAGGGTTTTCATTTCCTTTACTGGTAAGGAAGCTCCCATATCGGGAGGAGAAGAGTCCCAACGGGGAGCCAGCAAACTCCTGGGCGTTTGGCTAGGAAGCTCTTCAGAAGCAGGCCAGCTGTTCCTCATGTCTGGTGTCTCTTGTATTTCTCATCAGGAAAATGAAGAGAGCTATCTTTCCTCTTCAGTGGGTTTTAACGAAAGCTGGTTAGGATTAATTATTAGGAGTACCTTGGAAATGTGACTATATAACTTATTTTACGTTCCTTTAATCTCTACAGTCTCTTTCTCCAGAAGTACTGAAGAAGACACTGTGCAAATGACTTGCTAAAACTATTCTAACAACATTGCAAAAAAGGCACTTCTCAATCAGGACAGTGAGATATATCAGTCAGGACAGTGAGATAAATCAGTCAGGACAGTGAGATGTATCAATCAGGATAGTGAGATGTATCAACCAGGATAGTGAGATACATTGTTACTGGTCAGAAATTGTAGAGAAGATGGAAATAAGTGTCTTGGCAAACTGGTCCATACAGAAACATGCAGATAAACCCAGGGAGGCCAGAACTGTGTGATTCAGAGGTTCTAATTCACTCTTAGGTAAACTGAGGGCCTGCTATATCTGGATAGAACCAAGCCTGGGACAGGGGCATCATCATCCCTGAACAGTCCTGCTAATGACCCAAAACCTTTAGCTCTGCTGGTTGAGAGTTTGGCATTTGTGCTGGCTGGCATGGCCCACTGCCCACACAGGATCTGGCTATCTTGATATATGATAGAAAGTCCAAGTAGAACTTGCAGAGAGCAAGGGAGATTTGACCAGACTACTTTATAATCTAGACTTCATCAATGCAAACCAGAATACACCCTTTAAGATTATCAAGGGTACCCTCTGCTGGGATTTTGAGCCCATTGACTTTTGGACTGGCTGGCCAGCAGGACAGTGTGTATAGGCAACAACTGGTGTCAGCATTACTTGATAGAAGTGGAAGAGTAGCAAGGCAAATTCGAGCTTTAAAGATGTTGGATTCTCTTTGTTTTTGTTTTTTGAGCAAAGCATATCTAAAGATACCTTACTAAGGAAGCAGTCTGTCAAAACCAAGTAATGGTAACAGCTACTGTTGACTGTGTCCCTTGTATGCAGTAACAACTATGGTTAGAGTTTTATGTGACTCCTTTCATTTAATCCTTCCACAGATCTCAGACGATAGGAACTACTGTTGTTGTTGAGATGAAAAAGAAAAAACTTAGAGCAGTTAAGTACTTTGGAAGACGACATCTAAGTGAACCATGTGGAGCTAGAATGGAAGCTCAGAGGTCTACCTGCAGAGCCCACAGGCGTGGCCACTGGGTGTAGCCCTCCTGACACCTGCTGCTGTGGTTTCAGACCGCACTGCCAGGAATGTGTTTCTACACCTCTGTAGCCATCGGGCAGAGTTTACTGCTTTGGATCCTAACCCTGAATGTGCCCAGGGAATTTGCTTTTCTAAGACCCATTTTGATCCAAATGAGGAAACATCTTCCGGTAGTGAGCAAGTGCCGTGGGCGAGGGGTGCGTGACAGTGTATATGTCTTCTGTGCCCACAGTTGCGGCTCGATGAGGCCCAAGAAGCAGAATGCCAGGCCTTGAGGCTACAGCTCCAGCAGGAAATGGAGCTGCTCAACGCCTACCAGAGCAAAATCAAGATGCAAACAGAGGCACAGCATGAACGTGAGCTCCAGAAGCTAGAGCAGAGGGTGTCTCTGCGCAGAGCACATCTCGAGCAGAAGGTAGGCCAGAGGCCTGCAGGCCGCGTGCAGTAGGGCCTGGGGGATGTGGCCCAGAGAACTGCCGTTCGTGGAACCCTCCCTAGCTGCAGGGGATGAAATCCAGCGTTTTCACTTGCACCTTCTTTATACTCAGGATCCCTGTGGGGTAGACCCTGTCCCCATTCTACAGGCCAGGATCCTGGGCTCAGCACACTTGAGTTATTTGGGAAGTCTGATCCCAGAGCCTGTGCCTTTCTGCCACTCTGCTATGAAATCCTCACCCTGGTAGTGGATATGACACGTGAGAGGTACTGCCGGCCAACGGCAGGCCGCTAAGTGGTATGGAGAAGCCAAATGCGGACTTGGCTTTTGGTTCTTCTTAAACCATGAGAAGTCGTGTCAGCAGGGCTGTTTTTTAAAAAAATTAAAGTGAAGATAGGCTGATAGTGCTATGTATAATCACTGTTGTCCCAACGGACATACTGTTGTGCAGGTGTTCTGAGGAGTAGGGAGTGGATTAAGTTCCAGAAAGCACCTCAAAGCTATTAAGCATTTATTTGCTTAACCAGTTATTTGCACTTTCTTCCAGTAGTTCCCTGAGATCAACCTAACAGGCCATTTTCCCAGCTCCTGCTCTAGAACTAAATTACTAATGACCCAGGGGGCACGGGGCTCTCTATGGGCACGCAGCACCGCCTAATTGTGCGCGAGCGCCTTTTCGCTTCTCCTGAGCCATCTCCTGATGAGACAGGACGCTGACCTAGATCAGCCCAGCTGCGTGCCTGGCTCAGATGGCACTGCCAGCCCCAGGTGGGCCCCGCATTTCTGCCTGGTGAGAGAGTTTTAAATACAGTGGATTAGGTAGGCTTAGCACAGGACTGCCCCCTTCCTCAGTCTGCTTTATTTCTTGTTCCTGTGTGTGTGGACGTGAGTGAGGTATGTGTGCGTGTGTGTGTGGACATAAGTGGGGTGTATATGTGTGGATGTGAGTGGGATGTGTGTGTGTGGAGGTGAATGGGGTGTGTGTGGACACGAGTGGGATGTGTATGGACACGAGTGTGGTGTGTGTGTGTGGACATGAGTGGGATGTGTGTGTGGACACAAGTGGGATGTGTGTGTGGACATGAATGGGGTGTGTGTGTGTGGACATGAGTGAGATTGTGTGGAAATGAGTGGGATGTGTGTGAACACGAGTAGGGTGTTTGGACACAAGCGGGGTGTGTGTGTGGACACGAGTGGGATGTGTTTATGAACATGAGTGGGATGTGTGTGTGGACACAAGTGGGATGTGTGTGGGCATGAGTGGGATGTGTTCATGAACATGAGTGGATGTGTGTATGAACACGAGTGTGGTGTGTATGTGTGAACATGAGTGGGATGTGTATATGGACACAAGTGGGATGTGTTCATTAACATGAGTGGATGTGTGTATGGACACGAGTGGGATGTGTATGGACACGAGTGTGGTGTGTATGTGAACATGAGTGGGATGTGTATATGGACACAAGTGGGATGTGTGTATGGACACGAGTGGGATGTGTGTGGGCACGAGTGGGATGTATTCATGAACATGAGTGGATGTGTGTATGGACACGAGTGTGGCGTGTATGTGAACATGAGTGGATGTGTGTATGGACACGAGTGGGATGTGTGTGTGGACACAAGCAGGATGTGTTTGTGTGGACACGAGTGGGGGATGTGTGTCCCTGGTGGGAGATCCTGTGCATTAAGAACCGCTCGTTGTGCTCATTTCAGATTGAAGAGGAGCTGGCTGCCCTCCAGAAGGAACGCAGCGAGAGAATAAAGTACCTACTGGAAAGGCAAGAGCGAGAGATCGAGACTTTTGACGTGGAGAGCCTCAGAATGGGGTTTGGGAATTTGGTCACATTAGATTTTCCTAAGGAGGACTATAGATGAGATTAAATTTTTTGCCATTTACAAAAAAAAAAAAGAAAAAAGAAAACAGAAAAAAATTCAGACCCTGCAAAACCACATTCCCCATTTTAACGGGCGTCGCTCTCACTCTCTCTCTCTCTTCCTCTTACTGACATCGTGTCGGACTAGTGCCTGTTTATTCTTACTCCATCAGGGGCCCCTTCCTCCCCCCGTGTCAGCTTTCAGTGCTGGCCAACACCTGGCCACCCCTCTACTCATAGTACACGTCACAGTATTGATGTGATTCAACAGTTGCAGTGAAAACTGTGGAGACAGTCTTAACCAAACCAACAGACCAACAGCAGCAACAACAAAGTGGATGTATATTGCTTTAAGCAATCACTCATTGCCACCAATCTGTGAAAGTACAGCAAAAAAATAAATAATACTAATAAATGCCAAGGGGGAGAGAGACACAATATCCGCAGCCTTACACCTTAACTAGCTGCTGCATTATTTTATTTTATTTTATTTTTTTGGTATTTATTCATCAGGAATTAAAAAAAAAAAACAAAGTTTTATTAAAGATTGAAAATTTGATACATTTTACAGAAACTAATTGTGATGTACATATCAGTGGTGACATATTATTACTTTTTTGGGGCTGGGGGGGTGGGGGGGTGAAGAGATCTTGTGATTTTTAAGAACCTGCTGGCAAGCGTTTAACTTGTCTTCAGCATACTCTGATTGTATCATAATCATTTTCTGCTGTTGCAGAGGATGTGAATACACTTAAGGAGCTCACAGAATCCCAGTAGCACAAATTGGGCTTTGGCAAATCGTGTATTTTGTGTATAGAAGGAATTTAAGGAGAGGTATTACTTATTTTCATATTGTATTTTAACTGTTTCTCTGATCAAATTTTTTTACTTCCTCCTCCTATTCCTCCCCACCCCCTCTTTTTCCAATTCAGTATTTGGAGTTCAACACTGTCTCTCAATCAGATGATCTTGATCTTTTTCTTTATTTCCCTTTCCCTTCCTGAGTCCCATATCTTGGTCATAAATATTGCATTATTCACACTTTCAAACCGTGTATTTTCTTACAATAAAAAATGATGAAAAAAAAAAGGCTTTACTTCTTTTGCATGCACTTTAAAAACAAGACAAAACATTTTTCAGGTTCCAAGGAAGAGCATGATAACTGTCAGAGCTTTTAATTATATTTGTAAATAAAAGTGTTCACCACACCGCCTTGCTGTGTTATTGTAGCAGGTTTCCCTTGCAGGTGCACCAGTCACGAAACCAGCGGGAGGCCCACCCCCCGGAAGCCGCCCCTCACGGCCCGGCTGCTCCAAGAAGATTCCATTGCGGATTTCCAGATAAGGCTGTGTCGCTAGACACGGAGCTAGAGACGGTGTCGCACTGCTGGACGCCGTCAGGTGGTCCACCACGCCTTTCTGCCTTTACAAGGAAAAAGCACACATGCATGTATTCTCACACATACACACACACACACACACACACCCCAACCTGCCTGCCGTGCCTGGGAGCACGTATTGCTGAGAAGCCGGGCACCCTTAGAGAAAAGCAAGCTATGGAGGAAACATTATCATTCCCATTTTATAGTGTATGTGCTGCCGAAGCAAGCAAAAAGCATTATATACCAAATATTTGAATTGACTCCACTCATACTCTGCTTAAAGTGATGTTATATGTCTAACCATAAGATAGTAAAAAATATAACTTCTGACGTATGGTTTTGGGGTCAGGACAATCTCAGTAAGGTCTTTATTTTTTTTTTAAGGTTTATTTATTTATTTGAAAGGCAGAATTACAGACAGAGTAGGAAAGACAGACAGATCTTCCATCCACTGGTTCATTCCCCAAATGGTCACAACAGCCAGGACTGGGCCAGGCCACAGCCAGGAGCCAGAACCTTCTTCCTTCCGGGTCTCCCATGTGGGTTCAGGGGTCCAACACTTGGGCCATCTTCCACTGCTTTCCCAGGCACATTAGCAGGGAGCTGGATCGGAAGTGGAGCAGCCAGGACTCCAACTGGGGCCCATGTGGGATGCTGGTGCATGGATTTAACTTGCAGAGCCACAGCGCCAGCCCCAGACTCTCATTCTTAAGGGCCTGGGTCCTACACATTGAAAACAGCTCTTTAGAATGGTGACCTGAAGGTTATTCTTGCGTCCTACAGGATGGTAGTTGTCACAGAACTGACACGACACATCACATTCGCTATGACAAAATAAAGTAGAAAGGTACACTCATGAAACTGCAAAATAATTATCCACAAGGGCTAACTACAGCCATAAAGCCTTTAACAATGATTAACACCCAGTTTCTTATTTTTTTTTTTTTAAGATGTATTTATTTAAAAGACAGAGTCACAGAGAGAGGTAGAGACTGAGAAAGAGGTCTTCCATCCGCTTGTCACTCCCCAAATGGTGGCAATGGCCAGAGCTGGGTCCGTCCCAAAGCCAGGAGCCAGGAGGTTCTTCCAGGTCCCTCACACTGGTGCAAGGGCCCAAACACTTGTGCCATCTTCCACTGCTTTCCCAGACCATAAGCAGAGAGCTGGATCAGAAGTGGAACAGCAGGGACTTGAACAGGTACCCACATGGGATGCCAGCGCTGCGGGCTGGAGCTTTAACCTGCTGCCCCACAGCACCAGCCCCAACACCCAGTTTCTTCAGCAGCTCAGTTCACTGCAATCTCTGTACGAGGTATATCTAAAAATAATTCTAGAAAGGGCCGGAAAGGAGATAAATGGTCCAGGAGACGTAGGTAACAGTGTGCCTGCCTGTGCTCATCCCGTGGTAGGACACACTTCCAGCGTTTCACAGACGAGGAAATGAGCTCAGACCAGGGTTAAGGAGTGGGTGGGATCTGAATGGAAACCTGTGTGTTCTCAGAACCCATATCCAAAAGGGCATTCAGTCCAGCAAAGCAGAAAAACACCCTGGGGTCTATGTCACCCACTTCTGTGTGGTGTAAAACAAATGTCTAGCAGGCTTGTGGAAAGGCCCTGACGTCTGCGAGCTCTCTCCAAAAACTCCCTCGCCCCACGCTTGGACTCAGCCGGCCACAGCGACTACGAACAGCCAAGACGCTGCATGTAAGTGCCAGGTGCTACCAGGAGTTCAGAGGAACCACAACTACTCCAGTCACAGGGTTGTAAGAGAATGCGTAGCAGTGGAAAAAAGTATTCCTGGGCAACTGAAACATGCCCAGGTGTGAACGCCATACATCCCTCTGCCTTAAATGTAGTCATATATTTTGCCACAGAGATGATGATATATAAATATTCATTTCAATTTTTCCACTTTGGCAAAACAGTATCTCCAGCTGATTAAAACTAAAAACTAGACAAAATACAAAAGCAACTATCTGAGAACACTAAGAAATAAAAGCAATTGGATTGTGGGGTATGCTAGAAAGGCATGAACGTGAAATAAAACCATTCACAGGTGAAGAAAAATGAAAGGAATTGCTCTGCAAGAAATGCTAAAGGAAATTCTTCATACTGAAGGGAAGTGGTGCAATTTTTATTCTAACATTATGAAAAATTAATCCTATTGTAATCCCTAGTACAACTACCAAAAAGAAAACCCAAGAGTAATAGTCAAAATCCAAAATATAAAACATTCAAAAAATCTAAAAGGAGCCAGCGCCACAGCTCACTAGGCTAATCCTCCGCCTAGCGGCACCAGCACACCAAGTTCTAGTCCCGGTCGGGGCGCCGGATTCTGTCCCGGTTGCCCCTCTTCCAGGCCAGCTCTCTGCTATGGCCAGGGAGTGCAGTGGAGGATGGCCCAGGTGCTTGGGCCCTGCACCCCATGGGAGACCAGGAAAAAGCACCTGGATCCTGGCTCCTGCCATCGGATCAGCGCGGTGCGCCGGCTGCAGCGGCGGCCATTGGAGGGTGAACCAACGGCAAAGGAGGACCTTTCCCTCTCTGTCTCTCTCTCTCACTGTCCACTCTGCCTGTCAAAAATTAAAAAAAAAAAAAAATGTTAATGGTCCCTGAACAATGTAGCTAAGAGGCAGAGATTGACCGCATGGATAAAACAGACCATAGCATGCATTTAAGACTAAAGCACAGGGTGGAAACAGTGGGTAGGGAAAACTATGTATGCACATTAAAGCATAAGATGACTGTGGTGGGCAGTTTCATATGCATCCAAGGTTGACTTCAAGACAAAGATTATTACAGAAAAAAAAGAAACATTCAACATAAGCAAAGGAATAATTTATCAAGGAGACTTGAATAGTTATAAACATATATACTCCTAATAACAGTACACCAAATGCAATACTCGGGTGAACTGAAATTCCACCTTAAGAAACCAGAAAAAGAAGAGTAAACACCAAGTGCAGACAAGAAAATAATAAAGAGCATAAATCAATTAAAGGATAAATAAGCAAAAGAGAAGCTGCTCAAACCAAAAGCTTATTCATTGAATACAGCAACAAAAATGACAAATCCATGTCTAGACTTAGCAAGAAAACACACACACACACACACACACACGCACATCACCAAGACCATAATGAAAAAGGGGCCATCACTACAAACGATAACTTACAGCAACAAATCTGACAACTTAGGAGAAAAGGATTGGTTTGCAAATGGACCCAAGAAGCAGCAGAAACTGACTAGCCCAATGCCTACTTATATTTTGAAAGTATGATAAAAAAAAATTTCCCAAAATAAAAACTCCAGTTCCAGACAGTTTCACTGGTGAATTCTATAAACTTGCAAGGAATAAATAACACAACCTTATATAAACTTTTTCAAAACATAAAGAAGGCAGGATCACCCACCCAATATGTACAAGTATATGTAATATCAATATCTGACAGACTTTACAAAAAAAATTACAGACAATACCCCTCCTGAACGTGGGTGCAAAGCTGCATAACAAAATACTAATAAATCAAGTTTAGCAATATTACAACAGGTCAGTAATAACACAATGAACAAGTAAAGTTTATCCCAAACTATGGCTGGCTTACCATTGAAAATCAAAGTAATTCCATATCAGTAAGCGAAGAAAACTATAAAATCATTTCAACAGGTGCAGAAAAATCCGAAAAAAACTCGACAACCAATCATGATTAAAAAAAAAGCTCCCAGAAAACTATGAATAGGACAAAATGTCCTTATGCTGATAAGGGTATATCCAAAAACCTATAGTTAATACTAAAAGTGTAAGATCAAATATTTCCATGATAGATCAAGAACCAGGCAAAGATACTCACTTTCACCACTTCTATTTATTCTGGAGGTCCAAAGCACTGAATAAGGCAAATAAATGAATTTCAAAAGGCATAAAAGTTGGAAAAGAAAATTGTTCCCATTTGCAGACGATGTGACTACTTACAAAGAAAATCCCAAAGTATCTACAAAACTAGGTCACAAGAGGCATGATTATTACATAAGATCAACTGTACTATTCTATACTAGAAGCAAACAATAGGAAAATAAACAACAATTCTCATCACAGTGCATGTATGATGAATTTAATGTCCTGACAAACCCATCACAGCATCAAAAAATTCCTAAGTCAAAATCATGTGAGTATGAGACTCACACGACAAAAATCATAAAATATTTAGAAATAAATCTATGGGGGCCGGTGCTGTGGCACAGTAGGATAATCCTCTACCTGCAACACCAGCATCCCACATGGGCACTGGTTCAAGTCCTGGCTGCTCCTCTTCCCATCCAGCTCTCTGCTATGGCCTGGGAAAGCAGTAGAAAATGGCCCAAGACCTTGGGCCCCTGCACCCACGTGGGAGACCTAGAAGAAGCTCCTGGCTCCTGGCTTTGGATCAGCCCAGCTCCAGCCATTGCAGCCATTTGGGGAGTGAACCAGTGGATGGAAGACCTCTACCTCTGTCTCTCCTTCTCACTGTCTGTAACTCTCTCAAATAAATAAATAAAATCTAAAAAAAAAAAAAAATCTAAAACTAGGGTAGGCATTGTATCATCTCACATCATGGGAAGAAGGGGGAGAACAGTATAATATTTTGTGAGACGACATTGATATAGCTTTTATTACAGTATATTATATTGTTATTAGATATTAATCTCTGTCTAGAGTATAACCTTTATCATAGTGTTGTATATAGGAGAAAATGTAGTATGTATACACACTGTTCTGTACTATCTGTGCTTTTAGGTACCCACTAGGAGTCTTGGGATGCATTCCCCTTGGATAAATGAGGCACTACAG